CCGAAAAATATTTTCGGAAACTTCCGAAAATTTCCAGAAGCATATTTGGCTCGCAGACATTTTCGGAACTTCCGAAAATTTCCATAAGGTTCAAATCGGTTCTGTGTATTTTCGGAACTTCCGAAAATTTCCAGAACACACCAATAAGAGAAATGCTTTCAAGAAAAATGGATTTTGAGCACACGCATCACTCCTTATATGTCTATGCATCATCCCCCATAATAGTACGGCTTTCCTACGACACAATGCAAGGTAAAAGATACAATATACCATTTGAACATTGCCGCATTGCATCATGATGTAGCATTCACGGGGTATGCATTGCATTACAACATGTCGAGGACATATCAACCTTCACATTTGCTTGAATAAAAATGTTAGTCCTCTCTAATCGCATTGTAATCAATTATCAACATCATTAGAGGCCTAGATGCACTTTCAGCTGCTAAACTCCTTGCGCGCAGCACCAACTCATTGGCCAAGCGCCAAAGTGCCACATTGGCAGTCATAGTTTTCGCCACCTCATGCCAAATTTCTGTTGTTGGTTGAACACCAAAATTTTCCTTTCCTTCCAGATCGTCCATGCTAGAAGAGCTGCAATGGTGTCAAATCCTCGTCGATGAACCTTCTCAACATTCTTCCAGATATTACAAAGCCAGAGGTGAAAGGAGTCCTCATTCATCGGCATGCAGCTCGGTTGCTTGATTGCCATGAGGACCAAGGCCGACGAGATTCACCTAATTTTAAGATCGAGGAAGCCTTTATATCTGATTTTATGATTGATTTGAGGGACGCAAATCAAACCCGACCCACGGTTGAGGGGACTTGTTCCTTCTCACGTAAAATATGTGTGCCTATATGGGCCGAGATCCCGTTGTTGGCTTGTTGCCTTGTGTGCTGCTCTTGTACTCCCTCCGTCGCAGGATATAAAGAATTTTTGAGTTGGACACGATTATTAAGAAAGTAGGTAGAATTAACTAGTAAAATGTATGTGGGAAAAGTGAATGGTGGTGGGTTGTGATTGGTTGGGAATGGAATGTTGATAGAGAAGTTGTTATATTTTGGGACGGAGGAAGTAGCATTTTGTCATACATAAGGGGATCTGTGGCTGTGGATTGGTTTTTCTGAAAGAAGCATGAGATCTGCCATTTCCATGAGATCACACCAAACTTTCCCCCCCCCCCCCCCCCAACTCCCAACTTTCCATCACATCACATTATATCCAAAACTTTCCTACACATAAACTCCCAACTTTTTTTTAAACTACCAACTTTTTCCAAACTTCTTCTCAATTTCAGGAACTAAACACAGCCTAAGTAGGAAAGAAAACAATATTTGGTGGAAACAATAAAGCATGGAAAGGTCTTTTAAGGCCTCCAGTTCTTCATCGTGAGACCAGGACGTGCAGCGTGGGGAAGCTATTACAGAGATCTAATAAAGGCAAGTTGCTGTGGATTGTGGGGGATGCTTCCCTGATTAGTAATAGTTCCACCATTTTTTTCAAATTAGGTATAATTGATTCCTAGTGAGCTGGTTTTGTATAGAAGCTTTGGTGGGAAACCCGAAACCGTCTCTACTTGTGTCGAAAATGTACATTGGAGACTTGGAGTTGTGGCAATAATTTTACTCGTGGTATTTGACGTCTGGTGCTGTCAGGCACGTATGCAATTCTAACTAGTGCTGTGTATTAGTGTTCTAGATGTTTTTGTCAGGTACCTCATTGGCCATAATGTTCTTTGCTTTTGCTGAGCTTATATATCACCGTCTGCCTGCGTTAAATTTTGGTCTGATGTTACCGGTGATTAACTGGTTGTCGCTTGGTAGTCACAGCAAGTACCTGCAAGTTAAACCTACACAAGTACAGGACACACCGGCCTGGAGTGGAGTAGGTTGCAGTTTATGATCCAGCAAAAGAAGTTACGGGCCGGCTTACGGCACAGTTTGGGTCGGCATAAGATCATTTATTTTGCCATTTCTCCCTCCGGTTCCAATTTCTGTTTTGTCCCCTCTGATAAAAGGAGAAGATATCAGCTCCATGATGTACCGTTCTCTTCACCTAGTAGCAAAAGATAAGCTTAACAACTCAGGTGTGGATTACATACGTTCACCTAGATCATATTGCCCGAGTAAAAGACTCAAGCATGACATATCAGATAACATGAGGAATACAACTTGCCAACAGAGCAGAACAGGCTGCTTCTAGAACCAATCAAAAGAGATGGTATGGTACTGGAGTTCATCGACATGAAGCAGCATTGTAGGGTTTGGACACTTTTGTTTCAGATGAAAACATTAAACATACATTTAAGAAGGTGGCATCAAAGGGCACACCAGTCGTATCTTTTTTACACTTCTATGCTGAAAGCTGTGAGGGTACAACAGCAGTCAAATCTCCTTTTTCTCTTTTCTTTTTCGCAGGCAATTCTTTTGCTTTTGCACTTGCAGTTTTGGTCATGATCAGGTTCCACTCCACCAGGTAATGGGGCACACCGCATAGCTCAAGGTCTATACCTAACTAATGAACAGTACGGTGCTTCATAAATTATTTTTCAGTAAACATTAGTACAATGAGCATGGTCATTAGAAACTCTGACCTGATCCATTCAACCGTTTTACTAAAACACCAAAAGAAAAAGACGGTATCAATTAGTTTACTTGGACTACTTCCATCCACCCAATGTTCATAGTTAGATAATTCAGAGATGACATCATATCAGTTGTATGATGAAAGCTGCGAGGATATTCTGATATTCTAATTCTGAAGGCATGCATGCATGTCAAACAGATCAACCTAGCAAGCATCAATTAGTTCTTTTTTGACAACAAGCGACACATTCATGTCACGCATATAAACAACATATTTATTTTTGTCTAATATGCTAGTGCTTCTACAGTTCTACCCACTAGTCCTGATCAATTCCATGACTTTCAATTAGACCACTTGGAGAAAGCATATACTTTTGTGAGGTCGAGAGAAGCAGGCTCGCCACAAAAGTCCTGGCCACAACAAACTCCCTCCTAAATCAATTGGCTCCTAAATCAATTGGTAAAAAAGAATCAAAATCAACTATACTACTTAAATGCGCCATGTTTGCAGGCGCAAGCGGGAACGGGCCAAATCAGCTCCTCCCTTTTGATTCGGAGAATTTCTTGGTAGAGATCGACCAACTGGTCATATAAATCAATCACGGTCACTTAACACACACCGTTCCTTTTCAGCTTGCAAATCTGAAGTATGGTTGCCCACCTAAAAATTCAGTCAGTATTTTGAGACCTAGCCTTCCACGATCGATCTGCACGAGTGTCTGTTTGTCTCTCTACTAAAATCCACAGTGGAATTAATATTTCTACACCTCGCTTGTCTGGTTGAGCTAGGTAGCTAGCTAGTCCAATATGATTCCAAAATGAAGTTGTACTGGTTGGCTACCATTGAATATTTGACTAGATTTATACAGTAGAGTAGTGTACTACTGATCAAATTGGGGGCTCCCTTGGATGTCGATAGCAACATTAGAACTTTAGCCCGCGTGGCATCATATCAACAAAGTTGGTACACCGTGCCGTGCCTACTTATCTAAAATGGCATCACGTGTTAATTGTCTTGAACAGCAACCATTGAACCATGCCGAACCCATGCCAGGTTTTCTTTCTCGATGTACTTTTTGACAAGAAACCTTCAGCTTTGTCACTATTAAGCATGCATGAGCGAGAGCTTGGTGCCAACTTCTAGCAGCTTGTGAGATGTGTCATGCTGTCCATGTGCCCCAATCCATGCAGCACGAATGCACGATCGATCGAGCATGAGGGATGCATGGCAGTTTCTCTCGTTCGAAGCATCTAGCTATATCCGTGTGAAGGTTCCATGCATAGCCATTCTAACGACACGTGAAAAGGCAAGCTGATGCACTGAACGTAGCCAGAGGCGGCTGAGGTTGATTTTGACTACTGGACTGGACTAACTCCCCTGATAGAGAGGTCTTGTTGTTGATAGGGTTCCAGTCTGAATCGTCGTTGGAGTGACCGCACCTAAAATTCAGTCGAAGGATGAAGACACTGCGCTATGGTCTCAAGTGTCGGCTAGACACACTGCACTGGCATGTATTTCTACCTAAATTTATCGTTCTTAAGAAAATATCTCGAGATATGTAAATTTTACACTGAAATTTTTGATGCATGTATACATAAAAAATTATAATATCTTCTACTATAATATATTCTCAAGGTCTCAAGGATAATAAAATTTCCCTTTTCTGCCCCACAGTTGTTTTTTCTCCGACTAGCACAGTCATGAGTAGTCGCTTACTCGGTTACAAGTTGTAATTAACCACGTGATGAGTTAGAGTGAAATATCTCTCCCGTGTTTGATAGTATAGATTAATCTGTGTTATCCACATACGTAACGCAACTACTACTACTTCCTGTTTTATTATTGCAACGCAACTGCTCCACTACCAGTGAAGTAGTGTATTCACTTCGATTACTGACATGCTCCACCGTACATCAGTGCATTCACCTCTGTCATTAGCTCATTGTGGCATCTTGGGTAACGCCGAAAGTAGTGGTACTTTGGATCGTGACCAAGTATCATCTTTTGACGAACTTGAAGTTTTGGTGATGGTACAACAGCAATTTTCCCCCTCTTCTGTGAAATATGGAAATGGTATGTGTTCCGTTCACCACAACTGTTCTGGAAGAAAAGGCACCAGTAGTCCAGTACAACGGTAGATGCGAATCGACGAATCATTCTTCTCCATCAGATTTCATCCAAAGGCAGGGGGTTTATGATATCTATCTCCAGGCCCCATCTGCTCCGCCCGTCACGGAACGCGAAAAAGTTTAAAGCACCAAACCCAACACAAGTACACTAGCTGCCCAAAGCACCCCCAAAAGCACAAGGATTAAAATCAGACAAAAGCTATGCGTGCCAAGCACGACCTTGCGTCACGGTGGAATCGAATAGAACCGGTCCAGAAACCCACACCATTCTTGGGTTCTCTCCCCACAACTTGTGGTCGCGGTCTACTACCGTCTACTACGTACTCTCGCGCGGCCGTGCGCCGTGACGACCCATGAGGCCATGACCGCTTCCGCCGCCCACGCCTTCCTCGAGCGTTCCACGCTTCCACCCCGAATCCCACTTCCCCCCTCCCATTTAAAACGCGCCCCCCTCCCCTTCGCCATCCGCGCACAGGTTGCACAGGTTACCCTTCGCTTGATCGATCCCATCAAAGAGTGACGGAGGTGGTGGAGTATGGTGGTCGGCTTCCGCCGCACGATCTCGTTCCCCGCGCCCAAGGCGGCGACGGCCGCGAAGGGTGAGGCCTACCGCGTCCGGTCGGCGAGCCTGCCGTGCCGGTTCCATCCTCTGGTGGTCCAGCTTGACGAGGATGTGGCGACGATGAGGGAGCTGGTGGGCCGCCTGGCGTCGGCCGCGTCGGCGGGCTCCGTCGCGGGGGCCGCGGAGCAGCTCGGGCGGGTGCTGGTGTCGCTCTCCGAGCTGCTCCACCACCCGCAGGCGCAGGAGCCGCTCCGGCGGCTCGGGCGGTCGCCGTTCGCGGAGCGCCTGCTCGACAATTTCCTCCGCCTCGCCGACGCGCACGGCAGCTTCAGGGCGGCGCTCGTCGCGCTCTCCGCGCTCCAGGCCGAGGCCCGCGCCGCGCTGCGGCGCGAGGACCCGGCGCGCCTGGCGTCCGCGGCCCGCGCGCTGCGCCGGTCCGGGCGAGACCTCCCGCGGATCGCCTCCTCGGCGCGCGCCGTGGCGGCCAAGCCGCCGCCTCCCCCTCCCGCGGGCCTCCCGGCCGACGGGACCGCCCTCGCCGCCGCCATCGCCGACGCGACCGCGGCCGTCGCCTCGGCCTCGGCCGCGGTCTTCTCCGGCGTGTCGTCCCTCTCCATCGCCGCCGCCACGGCCCGTGTCGAGGTCGCCGCCACGCCCTGCTGGATGCCCTCCCCGGCGAGATTCACCACACCATCGGCGACGCCAAGACACCACATCATCACCACCAAGCCATCGTCGCTGCGCATATGGTGGGTCGCCGACCTGATGCGCTGGATGTCGCGGGCGAAGCGCCGGTCAGCCAGTAAGCAGCACGCCGACAGTGACGCCTCCTCCTCCTCCACCTCCTCCGCCGCCACGGCGCGGCCCCAACCCAACGTCGCCGTGGACCCGGACGAGAGAGAACGGAAGGCGGCGTTCGAGCGCCTGGACAACCTGGGACGGTGCATCGCGGACGTGGAGAGCATCGGCGAGAAGGTGTTCCGCGCTCTGGTGAACACCAGAGTCTCACTGCTCAACATTCTGAGCACAAGCTTCTGATGAATTCCCAACCAAACATCACTAGAAACGCAAACTCGATCGAATTTTGCTACTTTGAAAGACATCTGTACATAAAAATGGGGCCTTTTTTTAGGCTTTTGATAATCATAGTACTGGCATGTTTAGAGAGCTCCATTTCCTTTGTTTCATCATCATCATCATCGTACTACTAGCATACTGCTAGTATTCACATGGGAGCCAAAGCATTAGCTTCAGGATAAAGAATCAAAGATCGTTCAGATACTAACAAAGAGTGGATCTTTTTGGTATACTGCTCAATCACCGGTGATTTTCATACTGTTCTACCTGCGAAGGATACGGCTGCCGTTATAGTCGTCGCTGGCTAGCTGTTGCGCGGTTGAGGCGGCTGGCTCCCGATCGTTGGTTGGGTTGGGTCAGGTCACGTGGAGTCGCTGTAGAGCCGTAGAGGTGGAGGGATCGTGGATTTCGTGGTGGATGAGATGAGATCGGGAGACGGGGATCTGCACTTCTGCAGGCTTTTTTCCAGCGCGATCGGCAGGGGCGGAGCCCGTGCGAGGACGCTCGGTCGATCGATCGATGCTTCCGCCAATCACGCCGATCGGGTGATCTCCGATGGGGCTATGGTGTGTTGCGGTTGTTTGTGGCGTGGCCGTTTTTCGACGGGTTGCAAAGTGTGTGTTGTTGCGTCGGTGAGAGAAGTTTCGACTCCGCACTCCATTTTTCCACGGTGCAGCCGTTGCAGCACATACTATCCTTTTGACATGCAGGGGATGGCGTTCTATGAGATAAAACCACGTGTGCAAAAGGGAGCGTTGAGAGTTCATTCCTCATGTGGTCGCTCTCGAGGTAGATTGGGCATGACATCAGAGCTATTGTGATCGGTCCAGAGCAAGTTTTGGTTTGAGGAATCTTTTGACTTAGGATCGGCATATCTTCGTTTGCTTCTCTAATCGATCACACGACCACCTAACCTGTGTGCCAGTGTCAGGCAGGTAGAGGACTACTGGTTTTATCTCCTTGGCTTCGAAATGCAATCGGGACGTATAGAGCTGCTTGATCTGACATCCACAATTATTGACGCCTGTTCACTTTGATATCATTTTCAACCTTATCAAATTTTGGTAAAGTTACAAAAAAAAGTGGCTACATTTAGTTTCTTGCCAAATTTTGGTAACTATATAAGAAATCCTGCCAAATGCTAAAATTTAGTAAGGTTTTTTTGGCATCAAAGTAAACATGTCCTTGGTTTGTTGGTTGCAACGAAAAAGGATCCGAAAAATCATATATCGTTGAATTGATCAGCGTTAGACGGTGAGAAGCCTGACTAAGGCCCAGTTTAGTTACAAAGTTTTTTTTTCTAAACTTTCAACTTTTCATCACATCGAACCTTTAATACACACAACTTTTCTATCACATCGTATCAATTTCAACCAAACTTTCAAACTTCAGTGTGAACTCAACACAACCTAAGAAAAAAACCCCAGCATTGCATGTAGCATGCGTATGTACTACAACTACTACCCTACTACTATGTCATCCCCTCTATCCTTAGAATCATGACTTCAGCTTAGAGGTGCCGTCAATTATGGTCGAAATGGGCGGTGCTGGTCCTACCACTCAGACTTGTTTCATTGACAACTTTCGTCATATTGCATTTTAATACATTCTATAAAATTTACAAAAATTTGTGATCAAAGGAGTATTTGGGAGATGCTATTGAAGGGAGTAGTTGTCATGGCCAGATCACACGCATGTGTTCGTATCCCAGCTCCTGCTATTTCTACCTCATTTGATCCATTCCATACCTGGCCACCTGGGGCATGCTTAACTGGTGATGACTCGAAACTTGGCAAGCAAAAGGGCCTTGTCCAACTTTGATGAACGCACGTACGCTCCACGGCTCGACAGCTGCAAGCCTTGCAACTCGCCCCCGATTCCGTGGGACTTGCTTGCCACGGACGCGCGCGGAGAACGAGAAGCCACGGCTACTAGCCGCGCGGCGCACGGCTCGGCACGGCGAACGAGCGCGCCCGTGCGCTCGGCTGGATCGGATTCCGTTCCGTATGGCAAATCCTTTGGGTTTCCAGTTTCCACGCTTTGCGTTTGCGAACCCGAAGTTCCTGGATCCCCGGACGTGGCCATGTACGGTATCGAGTTCGATCGCTTGCAGTCGCGGTCTGCTTCGACGCGCTTTCGCGCGGAGCGAGGGCCGCGACCGTGCGGATTCGAGATCTCGCGACCTTCTGGAGGTCCAAGCCCGGGAGTCCCCGTGGCGCTTATTTTAGGCGGAAGGAAGCTGCCAAGCTGCCACGCGGTGGTGGCGCTGGAATACGACCACGCGAGCGTGCAGAAGGAGCGCTGGTTGGCTGGGTGCCCGACAGGATGCGTGCCCCCTGTTCCCCTGGCCGCGGACTACGGTGACTCTCTCCAGCGCAAAGCCGTTGCCTTCTCGTTTCCTAGGAACAGTGCAGTCGACGGCTGTACCTTGGTTGTCCACAGGCTGCTTCCACAGTGTGTCACAGCTTGTTTATTACACCAGCTGCTTGTATATTTTACTTGTCCGTGCTCGCCAAGGCCATATTCCATATTTGTATGGACTCTGGAGGAATGCGCAGCTATTTCGAGCTGGGAGCATGGGTAGTAAACAGTGTTATTTGAAGGTCAGGTGATGACGTCGCCTTCCTACGGCAAATGCGGCACCTACGGCGACCGCCTACTGTTTAGATAGTTGCGTCCCTTATCTCTTAATACTTGGCTGCATTGGGATGCAAAATTCTTTTAAGGCTATCTTCCAACGGAGCAAGTTTAATAATAAAACTAAGTATTAGAGCACCCACAATAGTAAAGCAAGATGCTCTCTATAAAACATGTACATCTCAGCAATATGCTAGATTAATAGTAAATCACCTCAATAGTATGTCTATATGGATATCTATAGCTCTCTAATCCATTGCCTCGTTTTTCTCTATAGACTATCTCCAGGTTAGTAGATAGCTTTACTCTCTCTCTCTCTCTTCATTTAATCTCTTCCATGTAGAAAAATATGCTGATATGGATCTCTTGTAGATAGCCTATAGATAACCATTGCGGTTGCCCTTAGCAAGCTCAAACTAAAACTAATATGATGGTATGTTAGTTTGTGTGGAAAGAGAGGAATGCTAGGATCTTTGAGCAAAAGTCACGCTCAGAGATTTATAGAGAAATTAGAGATGAGATTTGGTGTGGAGGGAGGCCGGTATTTTTAGAGAAGTTGGCTGAGAACCTCCCTGTCAGCCGGCCCTATTTGTTTTTCGTTTTATTTTCTCTACCCCCAACCCCCCACCCCCCTACAGTTTAATGTCAATTTTGTAAAATTTGTAACAATTCCTTTCAGCCTTAATAAAATTAGGTTGGCCATCCCGGCAAAAAACTAAAGCTAACATGTATAGCATACTCCCTCCATCTACTTTTGATAGTCATATTTCTAAATCTGAAAAAAATATTTTTGATAGGCATATTTCAATTCAACAATCTATCATCTTAATGACTTTCTTGGTTGTAATGCATGACTCTTCATTCTTCCACACAAGATTGGCTATATGGGCATCGAGAAATGTAAATATTAATGAATCGCTTGTTTACGAGGAATGACTGGTAACATGTTTAAATGGATGATAAGTAGAATTACTTATCCTTGGTCTGTGTGCCAAGATAAAATACGACTATCAAAAGTAGATAGAGGGAGTATTAGTTACTATAAGGTTGTCTCTATTTTTTTTCCCTATCTCTTTGTCTTACTCTTACTTATTATATAAGTAGTGCATTTACTGCTAGTACGAGAACTAACATTGTTTCTCCCTTTCTTTCACAAAAGTTTGTGGTTGGTTATATCCTATTATTAAACTTGCTCAGTGAGAGATTGATACAACAATATCCGCAACCCCATCAGGACATCTCTGAACTCTCAACTGAACCGAAACAATGAATGTAAACAAGGCAAGACTAGGCATTATGAATGTAACCTCCGATTAATCAACAGCAAGTTAATTTCAGACATGCATAATAGACAGCATCCGACAGCAGCGAATCATCTCCGCGCAGCGCAAGAAGTTACTCCTATACACATCACAAAACGAGCATACTGTTGCTGGGTGGGTCAGGATGCGGGAACAACAGTAACACTACAGAATCTTTGCATAGAAAGTTCTCAAAAAAAATATTTACATAGAAGATGCAGTTATTGGGTCACACCAATGCATGTTGCTCGCCCTGGGGACTGATCTGGACCTTTTGAAGCAGTCCGTCTCTTGGATGGTCAAAACTGATCAGTCACCGGCCAGGTTGACTCCATAACGGCGAGAGAGGTTCTTGATATCATTCATCACGTCACTGTCTAGTATGCAGTACTTCTTGTAAATTCCATCAAGTAACTCCTGTTGCTGCTTTGCTAGGTCCTTGTCCTCTTCCAATAGATTCTGGGGAAGGGAACAGCCAAATGAAAATATTTTCTCACATGCTATCTGAAGATCAAAGCATCGTCAACGCATTATATATATGTAATTTAACAGCATCAAGATATCAAAATACTGTCCTCAAACTATCAAACTAGTGCAAACACAATGCTTAGACAACACCAATCTGGAATGGCCATGAAAGTTCCTCAAGCATATTTACAATTCTAGTAAGGATGAACGCGGGTCACTTGGTGTGTACTCAAGGAGTAATCCATGCCCATCCCTAAGATCTAATTGGTCCTTAGTCATGATAAAGGCAGATCAACCATTACAAAAATACATGTAGGCATTGATTGATTCTCCAGAAAGAAACATCCTCCATAATTAGATAATTATATTCATATGCGCAAAATTCTATTCAGGTTGACATTTTCTAGGTTCCAATTGTCTATGCGCTATCAAGGAGCCTGCCCCCAGTTCCCTTGAGCATTCTTCTGAGTGAATTCTGAGCTATTGTTCTACCAACAGTTTCATAGGGAGTTAAGCAGAAAAGTTTGCTGTTTCATGGTAGTGGACATAAAGCACAATACATAAGTCACTCATCCGAAAAAACTCAAAAGTCATCCAACTTACCTTTATGAGTGCCATATTTTCTGTTTCCTGCCTTCTTGCAAGGAGCCGCAGTTTGTTCATTCCTTCATACTCTATTCCATCTTCTTGTTTCACCCACTGGAACTCTTTCTTGATTCCAGGGCGAGGAGGCCGATCCAGAAACATTTCATGCTTTGCATAGATAGCTCTTACAGGCCTTGGCTTTCCACCGATTATGAAAGGGAAATTATTCATCAAGTCGATAGCAGCCTTAGCTTGTATTTCATCATCTAGTTCCACCAACGCAGCAGAAGGAATATCATATGGGATTGTGTAATTAACAATGAAGTCCACATTGACAACGCGTGCACACTGGGAAATAGCTGCTTCAATTACTGAGCTTGTGACTTGAGGAGAAAGGTGATCGATATATATCGTTCTCTTTACCCTCTCCTCAAAATCAGCATACCCCTTCTTAGCATCTTCATCAGATTCCATGGGAAGGCCAAATCTGTGGTAAACAGTAAATGGAAACCGTTATTAAGAGTGCCAAGGTTTCAGTGCAAACAATAAGCTCTTTTTCAACTTCTGTTTACCCATGCAAAAACCTCAGAAGAAATTGATGATTCTATTGACAGGGTGTCAAACTGAGCAATATAATAGATGCAAGATTTTGTCCTATCCTGAACTTGAAAGGGCCATGCTGGAAAAAAGAACTTTTCAGCAATTAAGCTGCAGTGTCTTCTATTCAATAGAGATTTGCTTAGATGCGGTGAAGATAAGTTTGTAAATTATTCATGAAGAGGCTGCATGCAACTCTTTTCTGATATTGTTGGATTTAGAAACTCCGTGAACTGGCAACGTACACAAGCATGTGGTGCTCCTTGGCAATAGACACAAATCATGAATGATATTACATCAGAGTATCAGACCTATATCAGGGACAACAAGGAGGATTAGGGATCAAGGACTTAAGAACACATAACACAGCGTTACTCTTAAAACTAGCAAACAAGGTACTCTCAGCAGAAGATGATCCAATGGCTATCTGGTTTAGAGAAAGATATCTGCAAAACGCAATACAGCTAAACCCCAGAGCCAGTGATACACCAACTTGGAAACTCATCCAGTCGCAATTCCAGATTCTAAGCTACTCGACCCAGGTAAAACTTGGCAACGGCAAAACAACCCTCTTTTGGAAAGATAAGTGGCTATCCCAGCGCACATAGAGTTCGCTTTCCCAGTTTTATTCTCTTTTGCCCTACACAAGGATTGCACGGTTGAATCGCAATACAGGCACAATTCCTGGCACATCCAGCTCCATCCAAACCTATCCTACCAAGCAGAGTCAGAGCTGCATGAACTGCTGCAAATACTGCAAAACCACCACCCCTACCCAGACAACACAAACGCAAGAGAGTTTTCATACCCGGAACCCAAAGTCTCAACAGCAAATGCCTATCGGATGATGTCCTTCCATGGGTCACTTTGGACTCCAGCAGATTATATTTGGCTCCACACCATCCCGCAAAATTGCAAGGTTTTCCTCTGGCTGGCATTCAGAGACAGATTAAACACCAAAGCCAATATGGTCAACAAAAACTGGAACGAAGACCCCACTGCTCTTTGTGCCCTGCGCTAGAAACAGCTGACCACATCATCTTAAGATGCAAGCAGGCCAATAGCCTTTGGGAAAAATTGAATTTACTGCAGCTAGCCAACAACTCAGATTCTATCTCAACCTTCCTCCAGGCAATTATAGCAGAAATCAAACTTTGAAAGGAATTGAGCCAATTTGGTTTGCTGCTTGCGCATATACTCTATGGAAAGCACGCAACAACCAGGTGTTCGAAAGACAATTTGACAGTCTACAACACATTATTCAACAGATCTCAGACACCATGCACCTCTGGAGCCTAAGGACCAATGAAATAAACAGACAAAAAATTCAATCCTGGTGCTCACGGCTTTCATAGAAGATTGCTCATTGTACATATTTATGTAAATTCTCCCTTTTTTTCTGTTTTGGTCTGTTCTGCTTTTTGCTCTTTTTTTCTCTCTGATAATTCCCGCACCTAATATGTAATCTGTAAACCTCATTTCTTTTAATGAAATGACTATAAGGTAGAGCCTGTTCTACCTTCTTCCGTCAAAAAAGACCTATATCAGGGTAGCATGCGCCAAAAACTAAAAACATCGCAATTTCTTCTTCTCGGAAGGAAAACTCACCCTAGCTCACTTGGTGGAGGTGTGGGTGTACACCCTACCACCCAAGTTCTACGGTTCGGATCCTCAAGGCAAGGCAAACTTAGTACTTAGAGCATACCGCAACTCCCAAATGACGCATACAACAACTTCCAAAGCATGAGCTTTTAACACGACAGATTAATTCACCATTATGTGACTTTCTGTCATGCATATCACATGATACAATCGGATTAAGGTGATAGAGGGGAAAAAAAAAAGAAATCCAAACTCCGTGTTTTGTGGGCAACCAGGGTCACTCAAGCAGCACTACTACATTGACTTCACGACCTACCAAAATTTGCCACACATGTGCGAATAGAGTTTCACACCTTCCGTGGGATAGGATGGGAGGAGGAGGGAGGCGAACTCTTCGCCGATGTCGCCCTTGCCACCGCCGGTGTCTCCACCGCCTCCTTCCTCTATGGCACCCTACAACAATGGGGATCAACGCTGCCAAATCAGGTGCTTGTAGACCTAACGGATAAGGGAGAAGGAGCACAGGGGAGAAAAGGAGGCACCAGTCGCCGACTCGGAGGGGAGGTCGCCGGTCGCCGCCGGCCGGGGTTCCCGGGAAGGGAGGAAAAGGGGAATGCGGCGTCGTTTGGGTTCTCGTGAGAAGAGTAAGAGACGCTCAGGATTGGCCCAAGCAGAAAAGCCCACAGAAGCATACCGCCACAGGTAACGTGTACGACTTGGGGCCAGAATTAGGAAAAAGTACACCGAAGGTCCCTCAACTTGTCAGCGAAATAAAAAACATCCTCAAATCACAAAACCAGATATGCGGGGTCCCTTAACTATACAAAACCGGTCGCAATAGGTCCCTCGGCTGATACCGGTTTTATCCTATGTGGCGCTTTGACCACGGTCATCGGTGGCTGAGTCACCGTGGGACTCACGTGGGCCTCACGTGTCAGCTTGTCCAGGTCAGCCTACTCTCTCTTTCCTCTCTTCTCTCCCTTTCTCCTCTCTCTCTCTATCTCTCTCACTCTTCTCTCTGGGGTTCTGGGCAGGCCAGCGTCGCCAGCCAACAGGTGGGAAGGAGAGCAAGGCGGCGGCGGGGGAACAAGGCGGCGACGACGCAGGAGCAAGGGAGGGGCGTTGGCGCCGTTGTCGTCGCCGAGCACCACCACCACCTGCAGGGGGCATGGACATCGCGTCGAGGATGAGCAGTGGTGAAAGGGGGAGATGGAATTCGAGAGGCGAGGGGCGCGCGCGCACCGAGGTGGTTCTTCCGCTTCCTGGTCTCGTGACGGCGATCCCCCGCCGCGATCTCCTCGATCTCCAGCCGGACGCTGCCATCGCCGTCTCCTGTGGCCTCCGCGACGCCGACCTCTGCTCTCGGCGCCGCCGCTCTTCCCCGAGGAGGAGGAGCCCACCGACGAGAACGCACTCGCCTTCTCCTGCCAGATCTCCCGCTTCAGTGGTTGCGGCGGCGAGATCGGCTCCTCCTCCTCCTCTTCCTTCCTCGGCGGCGGCGAGATCGGCTTCACTTCCTCATCGACAACTCTAAGGATTCAAGAGCAAATGTAAGAAGCGTAAAGAATGAGGAAAAAATTTGGGGATAATTTGAATTCGAGGTGGCTTCTCTCCCTACCTGGATTTAAAGAGGAAAGATTCGAGGTGGCTAGCATCTTTGATGGCATCGCCGGCCGCCGGACCTCCTCCTCTCCCACTTCTCCCCGCCGGCCTCTGTCAGGGAGCTCGACGCCACGATGCTCGGTTGAAGCTCTCTTTCCCTCTCTCGGCGCCGTCGCACGCAGGGTGGAGCTCGACGCCGCGACGCTCGGTTTGCCCCCGGGCTCAACCCCATCCTCATCGGCGCCGCACCAAGTCGCGCCACATTGCTGTCATCGGCCACCAGACGAGGAGCAAAGTGAGAGAGAGAGAGGAAGGGAGAGAAGAGGGGAAAGAGATTGTCCTACGTGGCATCCTGACATGTGGGACCCACGTGGGTCACACGCTGACTCAGCCGCCACATAGGACAAATCCGACGTCAATACTGTCCTGGGATCTCGGGTGACCGGTTTTGTATAGTTAAGGGACCCCGCATATCTGGTTTTGCGGTTCGAGGACATTTTTGTATCTTTGTGACAAGTTGAGGGACCTTCCGTGTACTTTTTCCCCAGAATTAGCCATTTCTTAACATCTTGGGCTTTACTATTTGGGCTTATACTATTCGAGCCCACTGCACGAAGAAAAATTAGACCTCCAAAAATCCCATTGGGTTGTGACTGAAGAAACCTTTTCGTTTATCTTTTATAGAGAGAAACTGAAGAAACAAGCTGCAGACTTGCAGAGTCTCTCCTCCATAGCGAGGAGCAAACACATCATGATTTGCTGAAAATCTTTCCAACACCGATGTACCTTGATTCAGAAGCAGTATGATTTCTTGGGTTACAGCACATGCGCACAGATCAATTGCATTTCCGCACCACCATGATCTAATCCTAACGGATTAGAGCGCTGCTGGTTTGTAGTAGCTTGTTGCGATCCATTCTCGCACAAACCTGCACTGTTGCAGCCAGCTGCATGCGGACTCGTGAGCATGCATGCTACTCCAGCTCTCGTAGCCTCACACGCACCTACAGTCGCATCCACCACCTGGTGATCGGAAAAGCCAATTGTTTACATCATTTTTCTACTGGGCCAGGTGTTCGCTTAAGCATGCAGATGCAGCTCGTGCTTTCGTTTGAAAGAACAGAATCTCTGGAAGGCTGGTGGTCAGCCACCAACCGGCTCCTCCATCATGATCCGCGGATCAGAGGCAGGCATGGATGCGTCCGGTTAATTTTTAGGGAGGTTCATGTGCTAATCTTGGCTTCTGGATACGGCACAGAGCTGCATATTCTTGTGTAGCAGAAGCAGTATAAAATGTGTTTGGGTTGCCCACATGCATGCACACATGACTCATGAGAGACTGTCAAAAGCACAATCTGCATGACTACTTACATATGGACGTTCACTCAATCACTCTCTGCCTGCTGATGGTGTACGGCTCCGATTCCTGTATAGAGCGTATAGTACCAGAATTCCTTTTCTTTTCTACAAGGGCATCGTCACTTTGTGCCTCTTTGAGCAACTGTTTTGGTGTTGGGGTGAGTGATTTCGTTGTGTTCTTTGTGCATTGGCTGGCGTGCAAATCTTGACCACTACTTCCACAAAGGTTTTTTGCGAGATCCAATTACTACTACAGTACTCCTAGCTAGGCACTAGATTTCAATGGCTCCAAGGTCCTGTTTGGTTCCATGGGCTAATTATTAGCCTCCACCTTTTAGCTCTAAATTACCCTATAAGGATCTAAATATGTGGGCTAATTTAGGGCTAAAGTGAATTAGACCCCTCAAAATATTAGCCCCTCCAAGGAATGCTAATGGGGCTAATTTTTTGTGGGGACCATCAAAAAGCAGCCATATCTCCCTCAATCTCTCCTCTCTCTTTACTCTCTCTCCATCTTTTAGCCCTCAATTAGCCTATGGATCCAAACATATTACCCTAAACTAATATTTAGCTTACCAATTCAAGACTAAACATTGGTTCTCAAAATTAGCCCTGGGTTAATCTTCCAAACAGGGCCCAAGCATTCCAATCCCGGTAGCACTAGCGTAGTAGTGCCCTTTACAAGTTGTTGCAGAAATGAAGTAGTCCGTGCGAGTGCGTGCGTGCGTGCTTGCTTGCTCGTTCTGTGTGTGTGGCCGGCCATTTTATGTGTGTGTGGCCGGACATTGTTGCAAGGCATGGGTACTAAGCTTTTCTTCTGGGGTATCCTAAGCTCCTAACTGAAAATTCGAAGCTGTCCTAGCTAGCCAGCTGCTGAAATATTTACTCGCAGTTGCAGACTAACAGTTCAGAGCTGAGCTAGCTACGGCAGCCAGCCACACATCCGGATCCAGCAACTTTTGCCACAACTTTACAGTCGGAAAAACAAAGATAGGAACGCCAAGAGAGGAAAAAAGATAAAGGAGTAAATACAAGATCAGCCAGGCAAGGAAAAGCAGTAAAGTTCGGTGTAATCCGTGGTGAAGGCTGGCAATGGCATAAGATTCAAGGCTTCAAAAGCACAGGGGCAAAGAGGTGCGAAAGTATATGCGAATCAGTACGTGACCTGCACGATCGAGGTGAGGAGCAGCCAGCAGCAGCAAGTTTTCAC